TAGAAGCTAACACCTGGGAACATCTTTCATCACACTGGGAGGTGTGGAGAAATCCGATTGCTGTTGGTTTTGAAGAATTTGAGAGCAGCAGTTGCTTAGGCTCAAACTGAAACAAGCTGTGAGATTATTTTTAATCTGTATCACCACATGCAAGGCAGTAAAGCCACTAAGGCACAAGGGGTTACTGCTGGGTGTGCAAGAATTAGGAACAGAAACATTAATAATGAGTGGGAAGAGGAAAGTGTAATCAGGTGGACAGTATATAGTGATTAACATTGCATTTAGATTTGTGCAGATTAAAGTTGGCTGGAAAGCATGAAGCCAGAAGGGAGTTCCACAAGCAAGAAGTGCTAGAAAAGAAACTTAGCATAGAATTTGCAGTTATATCTAGCTAGCTCAACTGTAAATTGATATCTCAACACCAATCTGGTACTGCAATTAAATTCAAAAGTCTAGGTACCATAGCAAAGAGGTCATTCAAACAATTACCATAGAAGTATTTATAGAAAAAGCACAGAGACAACCGTGATGGTTGAAAATTGACCAAGCCACCAGATAAGGATCAATAATATTAACATATATGAAAGATGTCAATCCTCTCGAGAGGGGCACTTTTGAGTCCTTGTGTGATGAACATGGCAGTGTCTGCTTTTCAAGGGCTGGACTCTTCAGCCATAAACATGGGCATAGAAATACCATATAGCAATATGATACCTAGAAGACTTTATTGTGCAGCATTTGTCACAAAGTGCATAGGTCAGCAAATGAACTCACTCAGCACCATAAAACTAACACAGCCAGATAATCAGGTTGGTGCCAGATGATGTCACCTGTACTCAATGGGGAATGGCTTTTGTGTCATGTGCCATTTAAGACATCTTCGACCACATGGAAATCATCTTCATTAGGATGTTATGAGTTCTGGATGTGGTCTTACTTGATCATGAACCAACTACTACTATATATATATATATATATATATATATATATATATATATATATATATATATGTTATACTAGAACATACCTATTCTATTGTAAATAGACTCTCCCAGATATAATAAGTAGTAGTAGCAGTCGCCAGTGGGCTCAGAGTGAGTTGGTGAGTCATTTGATGTTGGAGCTTAAAGTATCAACCCCACTAGATTGCTGCATCATTAACTATTTTTTCAAGTTCTAAGCGTTTTGTACGTCGGACCCCTTTAGGACCGACTTAGTGAAATACAAGCCTACACTGTGAAAACTACTCTACAACAATATATATATATATATATATATATATACACACACACACACACACACACACACACACTATGGAACTTTCTCATCATGCTTTTGATTTTCTTCTGGTGTTTTTGTTTTTTTTCTCAATGGTGATTCATCAGGTTTTCTATCTTGGGCATTTCCAACCTCGGTGAGTTTAGTTGGTGTGTACATATTATGTACACATCAGCTACACTCTTAGCATCTTAAGCTAGCTGAGGGGATGTAAAATGTTCATTTTCACAAAAAACAGTCACCAACTACCTGATGAAGACATCATGACCGAGGGTTTGAGCGTGCTGGCCTTGTTCAAATTGTTGTTCATGCTAGATAACATGCTCTCTCCCAGAAACTGCAACTAAGGTCTGCTCAGCATAGTTACATTAGGTGGGATCTGTGGGTGTTGAACAAACCCAAATGTGTCTGAGCAGGTGTCTGCAATAGGGATTAGCTAGCCACCCTAATAGACAGGTATCCTCGAATATGAGTAGCCAGCTATTATGTACACACTCACACACATACATAGGCCCAACTATGAAACTCTGGAGTCAGGTAGCTGAAGATATCAATCAGCTAAGTGACAAACCTTTTACTTGTATCAATTCTATATAGTTATAGATAGAATTATACTCCTGCTAAGAATATTGTTTTTACAAAAGTACAAATGTATTGGTTATTATTGTTATGTTGTAATAAAATCTATAAATTATGGTGTCTGCTTGTGGAAAATACTTGCTGAGATCTTCATTATTTCATTTCACATGAATACTAATTTATGTTTGGAAACAACTGTTATTTCATTATAAATGTGACAGTTATATTCTACAAGCTCTATAACTACAAATAACGGTTACAAGAATACTGTCAAGTTTATAATAATGTATTAACTGTTCACATCTAGGAGATATTTAAAAAAAAAAAAATCTTGCTTTAATGTCAAGTGTAAATGATTTAAATATTAAATGCTTATAGATTTCCATTTTCGAAAATGTTATAACTTCATATATACCCACACATATTTCTCTTTCAATGACACACACAGACATACATGTGTGTGTATTTGTTTGTCTCATAATGCGTGCATGTGTATGTTTATCTCCACACACACACACACACTGATGATGTAGGATTTTATGATGTTTACATATTCATATAATGTATATCATGTTCATTTTTTTCACTGTTAATCATCATTGAATGGCATAACAGTAAAATCTATAAAGAATAATAAAACTTAACAAGCACAACTATGAACAGAAGCTGACTAGTTTTCACTTTCCAGTTTCAATAGTCCAAATGCATCTCTGCATCCTTGTGGGAAATGAATTATTTTCCACCCAACAACTTCTTTCCCACAGATGAGATATAGAAAGCCTTTCACTGCTCTATGACTAAAAGTGTTCATTCTTTAGTTTCACCAGTTCTAACTTTTATGTCTAAGATTTGCCATTCTATTGGTGAGATGTAAGCCCCACTTGAGCGGCAGCTTCTCATGAATCACTGCTTTGGGAAACCAACTCCCAAGAGGATGCTTTCCCAATCACTATAATTTTGTTCAAGTCTAGGTTTAACAGTTATCTTCCCACATAGCCCTACAAATTGTGCCTCTTACTCTGTAACCCTCTACCAGGAATACCTCTTGAGCCCTGTACAGGGTGAACATCATTGTAACACACACCCACACACATATTAAATGTCCTTATAACCTACAGACTGTATCTTCAGTTTAAGGGAAAATATTACAATTATGTTTTGTCATCATTTTCCAAAATATTGTTGAAATGTCAAATCCTTGTCCTTTATATTTGTAGTCTTTTTATTTCTTCAAAAGGATGTCAGTGAAAATCCTCTTGTATCTATCAATGATTTTTGCAGCATTTGTTCTCATCTGACAACAAGGGCAACGATCCTCTCCTCAGTAGATAGATCAGTGCTGCTATTATGTCAAACAGTGGGAAACCTAGAGACAAAAACAGGAGGAAGGAAATAAAGTGACATATCTATCAAGAGGGAATCCGTTCATGTGAGCTGGACAAATAAATGAAGGCCAACATCAGTAAACAGATATCACTTTTTAGCTACTTTGCATTTGACATACAAAATGTATTTATCAGTCTTCTCCCAGACAACCCATATTCAATTATGACACATACCACTCTCTTACACACATATACTGTGTGTGTGTGTGTGTGTGTGTGTGTGTGCGCTTGGGATGAAATGCTTAAAAAGAAAAAGAAAAAAATTCTGTCTACTTATTTCTATACTGATCCTTTCCAGTTGAATAATCAGTTTTTTGATGTTAAGATGAAATTTATCAAAGAAGGTGCTGTAGTTGTTTTTTGTTTAAGCACTTTCAAGTACTTTTGACCATTTCTAAGATCATCTTAGGAATAAATTACAGAGACAGACTTATTGAAACTGCAATGAAATCTGCATTCTGTTGTGATAGTGATTTTAAACACACACACACACACACACAAAATGTTAGCACAGACTGCCTGCCAAAAGACCTAAAACTTTAGACACCCCCCACCCAAATACAAACACCTCCCTAAGCAGTAAATTAAAGTGCTCTATGTCTGTTCTCTTTGGTGTCATCAGTTTGAATAAAAGAAAGACAAAATTATGTGTTAGGAGAGTGTCTTGGGATCTCTGAGGATAAGTTGGTGTCATAAATCACATTAATTACCCGAGCTTATTACTTCCTGGCTTGAGACTTGAAGAGTCTCTGCACTTGTTTGCTTTGTCTCTATCTGTATTAGAGCTGTTTAGTAATTTAGTATTTTAATTCAGGAACTTTTCATTATTTTTTGTATACACATACATACCTACAGACACACACACATTCTTACATATGTGGGCCTATATATGCATGTATTAGAGCCTTTCTTTATTTTTCATAATTGTACATATATTGATATATCATTGATATATACCTGCATGCACACACACACAGACACACACCACTATATATACCCATATATGTATGTGTGTACATTCATATATATTGACATGCCCAAACCCACACAACACCCATATATATATATATATATATATATATATATATATAGTTTGTGGAGTATGTTGTTTTTCTGATATTGTGGGCAGCATTGGGATGCCTGTTTGTTTGCTTATATATGCGCTCACAGACACATATCCATAATATACGCATACACACACATATTAGGTATTATGGGTGGGAGTGGGTGCATGCACAAACAATTTTAGAACAGTGGAAACAGTTTTATTGTATAATATTCTTGTTGGAAATTCTCAAAAAAAATGTATAAATTCAGTCAACATATGTTTAGGTTTTATTCCAATTCTAATCATTGCTTTTTAAAACAATAAATATTGCCAAGGATTGAAGGTAGTTAGAATAAGTGATATTAATAGAAAAATTGTCCTTTTGGCACTTTTGGGGGGGTGCATCAAGTTTGCCTAAAAAGATTCCTACTCTGTATCAATTTTAATATATCATCTGTTTTTAACTTAAGATTTTAGTTTTAAAGGCTTTTTCCATTCTGACAAACATTCAAACATTGATCCATTTCTATTTATAAAGTAAATAATCAGTAGTATATTTCTCTTGCAAATAGTTTCAAATGCATTTATTGTCCAAATAAAAAGCTTGACAATATTATTAATTAATGTAAAAAATACTTTTTCTTTAATTTTCTTGACATTTGTTATTATTTTAACATCTTTATTCCAGTATTGGTGGTACAGTGGGTGCAATGGTCACATGTCCGCTTGAAGTGTTAAAGACAAGACTTCAGTCATCAGTTGCCACATTTCATTCCTCACCAGTTTATGTTACTTCTCCAGTCTCCACCCACACTATTGCATCCCCAAACCTCGTGGGATTACGGCCTCAAAGTTGCAATACATTGGAACTTTCAAATATGATGCCAAACAGACCAAGAGTTTCTCTTGGGATTTATGTCTGTTTACGGTAAGTTGAATATTTTCATTCCAAGCAAGGCAATAAAGCCACTAAGATCCTAGGTGTTATTGACTGTTAGAGAATAAAAAATTACTGTTATGTTGAGAACAAAAACAGAACAAGAATCAGAAGACAAGATAATGATTGACATTGCATTTGAATTTTTGAAATTCAAAGTCGACTGTGAAGCAAAAAGTTGGAAGAGAGAAAGACACTGTTAACATCAAACTTATGGCTACATTTCGTCACTTCAATTGTAAAAGGATGTGAACTTTCCGCCAATCTAGTACTGAGCATAAATTCATAAAGTCTAAGTACCCTAGAGAAAAGTTCATCAGAACAATTACATGAAAGTATTTATAGAAAAAGCACAGGGAAGTTATGTTATGGCAGCAGGATAGTGAATGAAATTATTAAGTAATTAAACCTGCATATGGCCAAGACAGCATAAATATGTTTGGTTTCTGCTTTTAGCTATTCCTTATAATACAAGATATATTTTTCATTTTCATATGAATTTCTTGCTGTGTTTTATAAATGGGTACATTTTTTTTTTCTCTCCAGATATTTCTGGTTAATTCAGAATGAAAAGAATGATACCAGCTTTGTTTTTATATAAAATTAGAGATTTTGCTAAAATAAATATTCTCTGAGTTAAAGAATGTATTGACACTTCATTTTAATATGTAAAATGTTAACTTTTTTATATATATATAAACAATTAACTTAACACCCATTGGTAATATAAGCTGTACTTAGCTTATATGAGGTTTGGATATTTCAACTAGAATAATGAAATTTGTATCAAAATGAAGTAAATTTATTTCTCTTCAAAATTATTTTTCAGTTTAGTCATTATTTAGTATTACATTTCTTATTTTTCAAAACATTTTATCCACTTTTTTTCTCATTCCATCCATAAACAAAATTTCTAGCTCAACATTTGATCTAATTGTGTACAACAACTTTGGCTTTGGGTGAAAAATGTTAACATTTTAATGCCTCTTTTAGTTTTGGAAACAAATGATGATACCATGTCCAGGCTGTATGAAAAGTGGGTGCAAGAGCTGTTGTTACAGAATGCAAAGGCCAGATGTAGAATGGTCAGCAATTGGTCAAAGTACTATGTGGGGCATGGTATTCTGACAGTGATTAATTGCCTTTGTCTGGGTTTTAGATACAAGTCCAAAATGGCATGAATTCAACAGAGTTGCAATAATTTTAAAGCATCAATATGCTTCCCACACTCAGTTTGAGAGACTAAGCCCACCCATGGAGGGACACTGAGCCAACATGTGACATGCATTCCTATGATGTCATTCTTCCTGCTGCCTCTTAGAATCCAAGCTGTCACACCTGTCCACTATTCTAATAAAAATGAATAAGAGAAATCATCCTTTTCATTACTACCATTTTATGTAGTAGCATGGGAACCTAAAGATAACACAGAATAATGCAAAACTGACTTGAAGCTTCTCCCTGTTTGTTGACTGCAATATGTCTTTACATTATCTAGATGGAAAAAAACAGTTCTCTTTTCAGGCATTATTCTGTGGATGCATTGAGTGCTTATAAAGTTTCACTGCCTTTAAACATGTGAATTTTGATTGGTGCACAACTTTCCAGTGTGTAACATCCTATCACTGATCATTGCTTTATAATGATGTAGTACTCCTAACTAAGAAACGCTATTACTCAATACTGTCCCACAGAAAACTGACATTAAACTTATTTGAACAAAACTTTATATACTTCCAAAAACATTTTCAAATATTGTTCTCTTTTATTAATGATTCCAAGCAGTAGGAGACCATTGTCGGTCGGCCTTTGTACGTATTAGGCTTATGGCCACATTAAGCTGAAACACTGGTTCCCATATGATCATACAAGTTAAGCAACATTGAGCCTGGTCACTACCTAGGTAGGTGAATGCTTTGGAATACCAGGTGCTGTAAGTTTGGATGTGCAAGTGGTATAATGGATAATGGCTTGGAATTGTCAATTGGTGAGCAGTGTTCCAATTCCAGTTTGATTCATTATAATGACTTACATACAAATGCCCATGGGAAAGGTATGAATTCACCTCTTCTCCCCCTGTTTAGCTGTGGGTTAATTAGTAAAACTTGTATGTCTAAAAGCATTATTATATCTTAAAATAAAATTATGTACAAAATATTTGGATTTTGGCATTAAATAACCCATAGAGATTGATATGCCACTAAATATAAACAACCACTGAACCATATCTAATATATATTCTTTAAAAAAAATACCTGCTATCATTTTCATATCTCTTCAGTTGTAAGAATTGAGAAAGATGCATTATAAAAACATTCATATAAATATATCAGCAAACATTAATTTTTTAAGGTAGACGTATAATATATACTTTCTAGTGTAATTCTTTATATCTGAAAAAATGTATATATGCTTTCTGATTCTTGAAGAATATTTCAACAAATAATTAACCTGATAAATTATATCCTGTGTGCAATATGCAATGTCTTATATTTTACTTACATATTTTTATTTTGTTATATTTTTTTATAGGCACATTGTGGAAACAGAAGGTCTTCGAGGATTATTTAAGGGACTAGGCCCAAATCTTGTCGGAGTTGCTCCATCAAGGTCTGTATACATTTAACCTCAAAATATTAAAGCTTTTTTTTTTTTTACTTTAAAAAAAAAAATAAATAAATAACTATACACCCCCCCTTCATTTTTTAAATATCTAATAAACATATCTTGACTAATTATGACTGATCTTACTTAATGCTTTTTTTTAGTTGGGCTGTGATGTCTTTTCTACTGACATTTACTTTTTGCTTAGAATTATCGTTTTCTTTTTCATTTTTCCTTTCACATCTAGAACTGCTTATTACTGCTTACAATACTTTCTACCTTTTTATTATTATTATTATTATTATTATTAGTTCACTGTCATTTTACTGCAGTGTTGGCTGTCATAGTGTGCACGTCTCTTACAGCGGCTTTGAGTCATAGAGATTTTGAAAGTTTGGCTGTGTTGCAGATGGTTTCTTCTTTTTCACAATGGTCTCCAACTGAATATTCGAGGCGAATTGCATGCAATTTTCAATAAACTTTTAAATTAAAAAAATGGTCATATATTAAAAAATGATCCTTAATAAATTACTTTTATTTGGATCGAAAAAGTCAATGGATAAATTTCAGATTTTGCATGTTGTTAAGTCAATGACATTGTTGGAAATTGAATTTTAATTGTAGATATATAAATCCGTTGTATCTAAAAAATCTTTGTATTATTCTTGTGCAGAGAGATATAAATTATTAATCTTCTACTTTGTTTTCATCCCTCCAAAAGTAGGATATTTTATTTTCTTTCTAGCAGGTTTTAATGATCCAATGTCTTGTTGAATATAACTCTTGTTGTTTATCTTTTAAAATTAAAAATCAAAAAAACATAAATTCTTAATCTTTTTGAATTGCATGATAAATTTATTTCTATACACTGGTTTTGATGCTACCTTTACATGTGGAGCTACTTTTTGCTGCTTAGCCAAGCACTACTGTTCCATATGACAGTGTATGTCTTTGTTTAACTGATCAATGAATTTAACTGTTTGTCTTTAATCAGCCTTTTTCTTTGTTATCTGAAGGCCTGCTGAATTATCCCAATTGGTAACATAAATGAAAACTAATCTTTAACCATCACTATTAAGTAGACATGCTATTTTGCTAGATTTGTCTGATGATTTTTTTTTTTTTTTTTTTTTTTTTTTTGCAATAAGGAGTTCTCATTATTTACAATCAGACTAATATCCTGATCTTATTATCATCACATTGATTTGATGGTTGTGCCCTCTGGTCTTCTTCACATGTCTATCAATCCCAGTAACTTTCAGTGAACTTAAATTGAACTCTTTCTCTTTCCATATTTACAGATATCTCATGTGTGTTTTGTCTTCTGTGTGTTCTGTTTCCACTTGACTCATGGTAGAATGAAAGAAAAAAAATAGATATTTCAGAGATACTTATGGTAACTTTTGACATATGAGACAACTTCTCTAAACCTTTCTTTAATGCAGTAGTTCCCCAACTTTTTTTTTCACTGCACTACATTTTCAGAATGAAAATTTGCTTAAATTTTATGTGATAAAATGTACATTTGAAAATAAAAAAAATATAAGAGAGGGTTAAAGGGAGGTAATCACAGATTTGAAGTCAGAACATTATCATTGATAACTCTCTCCTTCAATTTGCAGAACCTAGTTATTATATTTTTAATACTTGATATAATGCAAAAATATTACAATGATAAAATCTGTCAATAATTATATATACTGGGACTCAATGCATGCACTTACAAGTTATCCATATAATAATATTTTACATTTTGAAATCATATTTATTTTGGGCATATGAATTTTTGAAACTGTTTCTAAATCTTTGATTGTCTTTCAATCATTCCCTGCTCACCAGCTTTCCTCTTCCACCTCACCTATGAGGCACACAGCGCCATTTTGGAACTACTGCTTTAATGCAATTGGAAATAGTTTGAGGGACGATAATTCAGCCAATCCCTTTTTTTTCTTTTTTTAATTAAAATGTAATTTTATGCTTTATAACTTGTAAATCTGTTTATTATTTAATTACTTAATCCATTAATATCCACTGTAAAATCTGGTATTAATTTTTTTTTTTTAAAAAAAAAAAGAGTAAAAATTGAATATTATAATTATAGGTCTCAAAAAAAAAATCCTATGTTATAGATTTGTACCTCTCACCCATTCTCACCATTCCCAAAATAGGTATTAATAATGAATAATGCCTGTGTAATTTATTCATATATATATATATATATATATATATATATATATATATTATTATTTGAATTTGTAGGTAGGTTTGATGAATTGGATCATGATTACGATTCCAATGTAATAAATTATAACCATGGAATATTAGCGTTTGAGCCTTTTATATTATATTCTTACACTGTCCTGGACATTGAGTTCTACCTGGATTCTATCCTCTTGGGAATTTATATATATATATATATATATATATATATATATATATTGACCACTAATATTATCTATATATATATATATATATATATAATGGTTTGTGTTAGGATGGGGTCTCAAGTCTTGAATGTCAACCTTCCTAGATAAAAACATTTGGTATACTTGGACTACTGTGAATGTTTGAGTTGGGCATCAAGAAGGGCATCTGGCCTTGTAAAACTTTGCCTCAAATCATTATGACAAATCCTCTGTCAGGCAGGATCCACCATTGTGTGAGATTAATCCCAGTCCTGTCTCAGCAACAACAAAAAAAAACACACACACACCTACCTATGTATGTATGTAAATACTAAAATAAGTTGGATCAATAAGCTCACTTCAATGCTAAAATAAGTAATTGACCTGTGCACTTGAAAGAAATGAAACCATTTACTATACTGCAAACCCTGCTTTATTTAAATATAACTTTCTGGGTCCATATTCATTGAATGAAGTCAGATTTGCCATATCTATGGAGCACTCAACTTAGAATGGCTTGCATCATGAGCAGACTGTAGTAGATGTTCAAGTATCAGTTTGTGTAACTTGTACTTTAAGGCATTTTGGATTGACTCAGTTGCTTAAGAATTTGTTAGATTAACCTTGTGGAAATAAGTTTAAATTCTGGTTGGTTCACTTGTGAATTGAACAATTTTGAAATCAAAATAAATATTTGTCTTTGTTTTTCAATTAAGGTCTGAAATCCAGTTAGTTAAAAGTAAATATATTGACAATATATAATGTTAACATGCCAAACTTATTTTTATTGCTTCTTTTTGTATTCAGGTTATGTAGAAGTGCCATCTGGTAGTAAATTGAGTCCATATGTATGCAGAAACATTTTGTTTACTTGAATCTGTTTTGTTTTTGAGTTGACTTGAGGACAGCCTTCATTTCTCTTTTTGTTCCCATCAGTGGATATTCTATACTTCAGGTTTCCACCTGTGTTCACTGTTGTCCTTCACTTTTTACATGCATAAGTAAATGGAATTTATTTACTATTCTTATGCTGGTTTTTGCACTATTTGTGAGTCATTTATTTGATAGCCGAGACTAGCCAGGTTCATTGAATCAGCTTTGTTTTTAATAAATAAAAAAAAATTCAATAAAAATATAAATTATATTTTTATTGGACATTTAAATGGCTTTGTCTAACTTTTACTTTCTGTAGATTCCTCAGTATTTATTAGTAATAATAGCTGTTTCCCTGCAAGGAAACATTTAGTATTCATTGACTGAATAGCTAGTATTGCTTAAAATTTATAAAATCCTCTTAAAACAAATTTTCAGTGAAATAGGTTTCTCAAATGCAATAACTGTTATCACTACTTCCAGTATTGAGGAATTTCCTAACCTTTTGTTTGAAGTAGTATAGAATGACAACATTTTGTCATTATTTTCTCTTTGAGTTACATGTCCTATCCAATTTAGTTATTTCTGCTGTTTAGTTATTCCACCCAAGACTATGTATGTTCACTTTCCATCATTACTCTTAGAAAAAGTATGAGTCTCTTTTTTTTTTTTTTTGTCCTCCCAGAAGTTAAAGAGCAGAGGAATCTGGGCTCTAAAGATGTGGCCATTCCATCTATGTTTGCCATTCTTGATGGTTTTGATTATGTCCTTGAATCCAGGTGTTGCTCTTTCTGTCACATAAGGTGATGCTGAGCAAGATTTGCTTCATTTTATGTTGTGCCATTGCATAGTTGTTTAAAACAATTTTGTTTTTCAGAACATGAATAAATTGTAAATTATAGATCCTTTACATACTGCTTATATATGGATAGGAAATTAATTAGCAAGTACACAAACAATAGAAACAACATAAGTATGTCTTCTCACCAGATTTATTCAACCTTTACAATGATGCAATCCTAAAAAAACTAGAAGTTCTGCTAGGATTTATTTGTGGGCACAATCTTAATGACATAAGATATGCAGTTGATGACTGTATTGATGGCAAATGCAGAAAGGAAACTTCAATATCATAAAAGAAAGAGAGAAGAAAGGACTAACCATTAATTGTAAAAAGACAGAATATGTGATTGTTAACAAGAGAAACAATCGAAGATGTGAGCTTTCCTTCTCCTAGATTGGTTGCCAACCAAGGCTGCTATTTACCCATAGGTGGGGGAAGATATGGATTCATACTTTTCCCAAGGGTATTAGCATGTAAGTGAATGGAATGAGACTTGAAGCAACAGAAACAAAGAAAAGAGTGCTGAACTGCTATGTAATATCAATAGTCCAATATAGTAGGGAATGTCGGACAGTTTCCTCACAGATGAAATGGAAACTTGAAGCAACAGAAATATGGTTCTAAATAATGATGCTGAGAATATCATGAACAAACCACATGAGTAATGTGGAATTTTTAAGGAATATAGAAACAAAAATGATGTTTATACTTAGAATCAGAAAAAAACAGTTGACATTTCTAGGGTGTGTAATAAAAAAAAAAAAAGAAGGCTTGGCAAATTTGACACTCACAGAATATTAAAAGCAAGGACAATGAAAAATGTTGAGTAACCGAACAACCTTGTGTAAATGGGTGACTGAACAGGGAAGAATATTAAAATAAAAATAAACATTGCTAAGAGCTCAAGAAAACAAGAAGTTGTGGAGAGCTACGATCTGCCATGTGATGAAGGGGCACAATACATGGAAGAAGCAAGAGTTACTTAAATTGCTCTAATGATTGAACTGTATTCCCCATGTCCTGTCCCATAATCTAACCCAAGCTGACAACTAGAGTAATGCCAAAGATTATTTGTCTGAACCCATAACCAGAAAAATGGTCTTCTATTTGATATTTTATGATAGGCAGGTTTCCACTTCATCCAGACATAGTCGAGACAGTTGCTTCCTGTGAAGACGCAGACTTCATATGCCAATTTATTGATTCTTGCTTTCCAATATTGCAAATGTGCAGTTCAATTGCAGAGATGCTTTATACTGCAGTATTATTTAATAAGCATCAGAGAGAGGCTGCATTATGACATAATGCATTGGGTCATCTAGACGCATTTATAGAAGAATCATTTATCAAGGTTGTATGGCTTGGGTCATGCCATCCCTACAAATTATTCTGATAATTTTCTTTTCTTTTGGGAGATTTCTCTTAGCTTACTAGAAAAATAGTTAGGAAAAATCTACATTTATCTTTTTATTTTATTTATTTTTCTCTTTCTCTTCCCTCCCAATATTAAACTAATAATAATAATGATGGCAGCTTGAGTAAAACTAGTAATAATCGCAATAACTGCGCATGTCTATCATATATAATGTCAGATTTTATTATGCAAATCAATGTTGATTTTTGGAGTTTCTTTCTTTTTTTTTTTTTTTTTTTTTACCATATAACCAAACAATATTGGTAATTTTTTTTAAGGATATGGTTATAATAAATATCATGTGAGTTTCAGTTTCTAATATCTCTCTTTATTCAGAATAATTGATAACTTCTGAGAGAATCAGATTTTACTATGTAAATAAATTATATTTAAAAATAAATCCAAAGACTTCAGCTATAGAAGTATATTTGATTAACACAATATCCCACATACCTGGTTAAATTATTATTATTCTATATGTTTATATATTTTATATGTTAATATGTTATATATTTTATATGTTAATATGGCCTCTTTAATATTCTATAATCATTAGTTTTTCATTCTTGGATTTTGTTAATTTTTGTACTGTTTTGACTTTAATTTTTCTTGCTCTCCACTGTTTTTTTTTTTTTTTTTTTTTTTAATTGTTTCACCCTAAGCAAGGGGATAATGCCTCTAAAACACAGGGGTTACAAGGAGGGAAAGAGATTGAGAAGATTTTAGTGGGGAGGATTGAGGAAAGGACCAAAAAAAGGAACAGTTTTCAAGAAGAGGGAAGATGGTGATTGATATTAGATTTAAATTTTTGAAGATTGTAGTTATTGGGGAAGCAAGAAATTGAAAGGGTGTTCCACAGGTGAGAAGTGCAAGAAAAGAAACTGTTAGAGTAGAAGTGGCAGTTGCATCTAGCTATCTCAACAGTAAAATGGTGAGACCTAGTTGTCAATCTAGTAGCACGCTTAAATTCATGTAATTAATGTATCTTGGCGGGGGGTGTTGAGAGTTCATTAGAATAGTTGCCATCAAAATATTTGTAAAGATAGAGGGAAGTTGCTTAAATATTATTTGCTATTCTTGTTTACATCTTTTAATGAATGACTATAAGATTTCTATTAGATTATTATACGGCAGGGAACATTGCATTAATTGATATCTTTGAAACCTTTTTTTGGCAAAGTGGATAATAGATTAAACAATGAAAAAGCATTGCCTTATATAAATATACTCTAGCTTAAATCTTTATGGTTGTAGCTTGTACTACTCAAAAAAAAAAAAAAGATTCTCATCCAAGAACTTGCAATAATTCTGTACCTTCATCCTGCATCATCATCAACTTGAAGAGTTCCATTATTTTACTTTCTACAATACTAGACTAAAATATTGCTCCAACTTTCTATGAGCATCTTTTCTTTTTCTTTTTTTTTTTCTTTTTAAAGTTGACTATTCCTGTGAAGAATTCAACATCAGGTCCATCCAGTGTAGCTCTACATTCATCACTAAAAATAACTATTGAAAAATCAATTTTTCATGTGCTTCTTCACCCACCTTACATTTTTCTCTTTATGTTTACTTAAAGGTGGTAGTTTGGCTGCTTTCATGTCTTTAGCTTAATATTTTGTATCAAATCTTAAGATTTCCAGTATTTAAAACTCGACCAAACAATTAGAAAAATATTCAGGGAGAACCAATCCAATCTATACACACTCTTAACATCATACGACATATATGATTCACTACCTCACCAAGGGAATATCAACTGCAATAAACCCCAATGCCAAGTCTGTAGACATGTCATCACTGGCACTCACATAGTATTCAAACCAACAGCTCTGAATTGTGACAGTTCAGATCTTATATGTTTGCTTTCCTACCACAAATTCAAAAAAGGGAATTATGTTAGAGAAACTGGAATGGAATTCTGTCTTCGGTTCAATAACTATAAAAAATCATCAGGGACAACAACAATTTATCTGTTGCTGCACACTTCAGCCAACCATTTCATAGCATTGATGACATCAGATGTGTGCTTTTAGTGTCTTCATTCAACAGCTGACAAGGACACAGATCATAGTTGAATTTTATTTTCAAAATAAATTCACAAGGATTTGGGTTTACTCAGTGAGTAATTTCCACAGGGAAACAATATTCCTCTGAAGTCCCACTTTGTTTATTCCTCATATCATTGAATACAGGCATGTCTGAAAATTCTGACATTAAATTCATGCTTCCACTCAGTCAAAAGGTTAATATACTTACGTTTTGGGGAATAAAAGAAAGTTGCCCTCATATTATGAACATTTACTTAATATCTCAATGCTACTGAGAGGGGATCATGAGTAAAAAAAAAAAAAAAAATTTCAAAATTTGATTTGATTGTAGATTTTTTTTTTTTTTTTTTTTTTTATAAATGTCCATGTTCTTTTACTGTCTGTTCTTGTATATTTGAAACTTTTAAATGACCAATTGAAATTTACTTTCTTGATATTCATAATAAGTGTGATGTTCTTTGCTTTTCAGGGCCCTGTATTTTTTTGCCTATGCCAATATGAAGTCAAAACTCAATGCAATATTGGCACCTGACACACCATTGGTCCACATCTTCTCTGCTCTTGCCGCAGGTATATATGACTTATTTTTGCATGTGTGAAATGTGAAACTCCGAAATATTTCAAACACAAATTTTAGTGTGTTTGTGAATTTTCTCAGAATAATGTGTGGCTGGTGTAACAGATATTATTGCAGAAAGTGGATATCTACAAGCTGAATTCAAATTCTGTTGCATTCACTTTCACAAATGACTTTGGGTAAAAGATGAATCTGTCTCATCCACTCCTCCAGCTATGGGTTAAATAATGGGTAGACCGGACTCTCTAGTGGTAAAGTCTAGAAGGAAAATTCTGACTTCCAAACCAACAAGAAGACAATGGGAACCACTCCAAGAAGAATTCACAGATAAAGAAAAGGCATCTATGTAGTCATGTTTGCCTATATCCTAAATGGACATGGCAATTTTACCTTACTTGGAATAAAATGGATCTTCCTGCTCTATGTTTGATAAGCAATCATTTCAAATGAGCTTCAAACTAGATATTCAATCATATTTTTAACCACAGTAAACATAATGCTATTTTGTTTTTTCTTTATGCTACATCCCTTCAGGGCATAGACAATCCTGACCACAGAAATTCTTTATCTGTGAATTTCTATGAGATCTTAGGAGATATACTGGAGTGGTTTTCCCTTGCCTTCTCCAATGTTATTACTTATTTTAAATAGGAATGTTAAAATTTGAATGCGCAAATGGCATAGATGCAACCAGCAGGTTAAGCAGACTAAAAAATCTGCATCTTCCTGGTCAGAGAGAATTGTCATTAGATCCAATGTGCTTTAATCGACTTGGCCATAGAGAACCCTTGCTGATCAAGCAAGGCTGAACAATGCTTTTAAGTGAAATCCTTCAGTCATAGATTCTCAAATTTTCATATCTGCTCAGTTTCGTATCCTAACATAAAGAAAGCAATTTCTAAAGTAATGGATTTTTTATTTATTAATCCAACAGATTTTACCACTTCAAACATGGCTGAGTCGGTTAAAGTATCTTGGATCTAACAATTGTTCCCTCTGACCAGGCGTCACATGTTTGAATCCCACTGGAGTGCACATATTTTTCTTTAATATGATTACTCAAATATTTAGGTCAGTAGATGAAAATAAATATACTGTTTAATAAATTAATGGAGTATCTAGTCAAAAAGGAGTACATGCTAAAAAAAATAAAGTTTAAACTAATAAAATCTGTCAGATTAATAAATAAAAAAAATTCATTATATATATATATATATATATAAGCTTGATCTTCTGCACAAGTGAACGTTGGTCAGTCTCAAAGTTTTTGATCATGCACACTTTATTAATTTTGCCAATACCATGATACAAAACAGTTTGGGGAGAAAAACTGCTTATTGCTGTTTGTAAAATTCAATTTTATTCTAATAAGGATATAGAGTATTTGGCCATGGTTAAATGTAATTGGGAAAATGCCTCAAAATAGAATTGACAAAGAATCCAATAAACAATGAAAGAAATCATATAGTGTATGTAAATTAAGTACAAATATTTGGTATATAGATAAATGCAATCTGTTTGACAATAGCGCAAATTGTGTGTGTATGTATATATATATATATATATATATATATCAAGAAGAAATGTTTTTAACTGTTTCATTAAAAACTCACCCACACCCAACAAATCTTCCTCTCCCTTCTGTCTTCATTTTTACCCATTTCTTTCATTTAGTGCCTCCCACTACCACAAAATTTTCTTTTCTTTTCGTCTTTCTTTTTTTTTTTTTTTCTTTTTTTTTTAACAATTTATTTCCTGTGTTTGGTGCATTTAAACAAGACTGAAGATGCACTATAAACCATCTGTGAAATAAATTTAAGTTTATAGCTAGAAAATTAAAATGTAATGTTTTTGTTTGAAATTTTTCATAATTATATTGTTCTGTATTTGTTATTAGTCTCCTACATTGAGCCCTCTTCTAGGAGTTTTTGCCTGGATATTCATTTCTTAGGAACTCTTCTGGATTATCCACTTTCCAAAGGATCATATATATATATATATATATATATATATATATATATATATATATTATTACTGTGATTAAAAAGAAAAGGCTTCTATTCAAGGTGTAAATATTTTTTTATCACATTCATCAACGAAAGTCTTGTGATATGTAAAATTCTTTATCTTGTCTGCATTAAGGAAAGACAAATCAATAGTAAATAATCAAGAGAGGCACAAAATATATTGGCTACTGACCAACTTTTGACAAGAAAATTAAACCAAACAACTTCACTACAATTTCATAATAATTCAAAGATTTGTGTTGGTTCTAATCTAATAGTGAATGACTGTAAAACACTTTTCCCTTCCCCAATTTACAGACAGAAGCACACGAATGCATGCTGGGATTTATTCCTAGCCAATAAAAGAGGCTGGCTCTTAGTTTGATATGACTCAGACCTGGTCTGTCTGGCCTTGAATTCAAAATGCTATTTTCATTTATCTGAATTTGCACTTATGTCAACCCCAATTTTTACTTTGTGAATTTTTTTGTCTTATTACTGTTGCTTTTTTGTGCATATATTGTTCACTTGCTTTATATTATTTTTGCCCTGTTCTTTTCTTTTTTCTTTTTTATGTTATTGTTTATCATAAACTTTATCAATTCTGTTTGTTAGGCAGTGCTGCCATTTATTTACATGTAACCATGGCCACTCACTCTACAATTTGCAACAGCATTTGCTACTCTAACATTGACTTAACTAAATGCACCAACTTTATTTTATTGTTAATCAAAACTTATTTAACATTTACCTTTGTCAAATAGGTTTCACATCCAGCACTGCCACCAATCCCATTTGGTTTGTCAAAACCCGACTACAACTTGACCAAAAGTAAGTAAACCTATAAAAACCTTCATGACTCATTTCATGTCAAATCATCAAGCGTCTGACCATCACTGATACAGATTTTCTTCCAAATTTTGTACACTTGTAGAAATTGAATGTGCTTATTTTACATCTCTAGTCAGTGTTCATGAGATATGATCCTTTGACCCTTGCCAAAAAGGTGAATTTTGGAAAATAGTCAGTTTAAATATCAATATCTCAGTTGTTTTATTTTTTTCTCCCACAAAGCTAAATTATATATCATTTTAAAGTACTTGAATAGATTTAAACGGTGATCTATTTATCCTTTTCTTTAACAGTCAAATAAGATAATTTGTCCTTGACCATAATCATTGACTTTTAATTTCTCAAAAATTGTATTTTTATTTTTTATTTTTTTTTTTAATTTGGCAACAGATTTGCCTGCCTTATGGCAAGATGTGTACAAAATTTTGTGTTGGACTTTTGACTGTGACCTGAGTTACAAGGTTTTTGGTATTTGATAACATTTTCATATCTCCCAATATGGTCAAGTTGTATATCTTTAAAAAGTTCTTTGAATGCTGATCAATATTCACATAAGATCTATAATCATAAAATCAACAGAATTTGTGTTATTTGTTGTTAAATGTTGACCAATTCAGTGGAAAATAAACAACCTTATTTTTGGTTTTGTTTACATTTTTATTATACAACAAATAGATTTTTATATGAAAAAGTGACATAAAGAAAATAATTATTTAAAAAAAGTGTCATGAATTAATGTTAAGATAACATAAAATGTGAAAATATGCATATAATGAGCTTTGAAGTAATAAAAATAGGTTATTCTGCTTTCACAATTGAATACAACTTTTGTGTATATCCATATTTGTGGAGACATGATTACTAGAGTGGATGATGGGTGTGTTTTATGTTGTAGCTTTGTTGAGGTTATATTTTGGAATACAGTTTGATTTCTTTAAGAAATTGTCAGATATTATATGGATTAATGACATGAAAGTTTTTTCATTTTGGTTTGATTTTATTGGTTTATTTTATAGTGGTATATCAGCCTTTATAGATTATTTAATGCTGAAATCTAAATATTTTGAACAATTTTATGGCTTCAAGTAAATATATTTTAAATGTAATTAAATGTATTCAACTATAGATAAATGTATTGTTGGTCATTCTATAAAATTGTATTTTTATGCTTTCCCAGTGGTTTTTATTTTTTGTTTGTTTTCACTATTTGCCCAAAACAACACTAACAGCAATTAAGAGGTGTTTCCACACTCTCGAAAACTCCAATCTCCTGATCTGAAGCCTTGCTACCAAACGTCTGCACCTATTTAATTGACATCTCCAGTTTTACAATTTTAGTCAGATAATTATCCTAAATCTGATTGTTTACGTTTGTTTTGTTTCTCTCTCATGCCCTCTCTTTGTTCGCTCTCATGCCCTCTCTTTATTCTCTCTCATGCCCTCTCTTTATTCTCTCTTATTCAGAAAAGACAACTCACTCCGGTGCCGAGATTGTGTGCGAAACATTTATCAACAAAATGGCCTCCGTGGATTTTACAAGGGTATTACTGCATCATATTTTGGAATGACAGAGACTGTGATTCATTTTGTGATCTATGAAGCCCTTAAAAGCAGATTCCTTGCTTATAACAATCAGACAAAGAGCGGCAGTTACACCAACAATGAGCGGAAATTGTCAGACTTTTTTTACTGTATGCTTTCAGGTGCAATCTCCAAAACTTGTGCTACTTGTATAGCATATCCACATGGTAAGTAGTAATAATAATAATAATTGTATGAAATCATTTATTTTCATGACATGTCCTGATAGTTGCACAAGAATGTGATCTTCTGTTTACCTTTCTCAGAATTTGTCTGTTATTATTTTATAATTATGTTGACAATCCTCTCCAAATGGACTGATCAAACAAACATATGTATTTGGTTACAACTAAATCTAATAATAAAAATTGGTTGTAGTATACATGTTTTTGAATCAACCTCAGTAATATGGCAACTACCTGTAGATTTGATTTGTTTATTTACTAGTATATCAACTCCTCAATGTTGAAATTTAATTTTGTGGGGAGCTTTGAATTTATAAAAATATGATGTTATTCTGCTTTCAGAATTGAATACATTGTAGATGATATTCAAGATTTGTTTGTGTGGACATAATTAAGAGATAGTGATATATAGATATAGAGATAGTGTTTATATTGTAGTTTTGTTGAAATTATATTTTGGAATACAGTTTGATTTAAGAAATTGTAGCATATTATATGGATTAATGTCATGAAAGATTCTTCCTGTTTGATTTCGTTTAGTAATATATCAGCCTCTATGGATTATTTATTGCCGAAATCTATTTGTAACAATTTTTTGCTTCAAGTAAATATATTTTAAACATAATTGTATACCTTCAACTACAGATAAAATATATCATTAGTCATTTTTCTATAAAATGTATTGGCAATTTTTTTTATATAAAAATGTATTGATGGTAATCTTACTATAAAAATGTATTTTCATCTTTTATTTATGCTTGGGGTTCACTATTTGCCCATAGCTGAGATCCTAACAGGTGCTACCACCCCAGGTCATGGTGGACCTGGGAACACCAGGAATTAAGAGGTGGTTCCACACTTCTTAATGTCCTGGGTATGACAATAAACTACATCCGACAGCAAGTCCTCTGATTGGGAGATTGGAGGTTTTCAGGACTGTGGAACCACCTCTTAATTGCTGTTGTTCCCAGGTTCACCCTGACCTGAGGTGGTAGCACCTGTTAGGGTCCAAGCTATGTCCAAATAGTGAACTCACAAACAAAAATAAAATACATTTTTATATTAAAAACAAATCCCCAACAATAAATTTTGTCTGTAGTTTAAAGACATAAGAATATGTTCAAAATATTTAGATTTCAGCAATAAATAACCCATCACTCAATCAACCAACCACACTCCTCAAAACCTCCAATCTCCTAATCAGAGGCCTTGCTGCTGGATGTAGTTTATCATTATACCCACTTCCTGTAGTATCTGTATGTTTTGAAATTTCTGATTTTTCATCAATGAATGCTCAGGACATTTTCTTGACCAATATTTCTCTTACACCATGCATAAATAAAAACCAGACAAGATATCTCTAAACATTGGGAGCAGAACATGAACAATATAACCTTATAGATTAAATAAAGGGGGTTAGTCTAAAATTCCCTGAAGGTTCAGTCAATTGGGCAATCATGTTTCTTTCAATTCATGACTGACTAGGCAAAAGATTCTCCCTGCAGTAGGTTGCCCTTTCTTTCTGCAGTAGACTAATTGCCAACCAAAGCTATAGGACCCATAAGTTGGATAGCAAGACATACATCTTTCTATTCAACCCATAGCTTGTGGAGAAGAAATGGATTCATACCCTTTCCCAAGGTTTTTTTGCACATAAGTGAATATAACAAACCTGATTGGAATTCAAACTCTGATTTCTCCTTCCAAGCTGGTATCCATTACTCCACCACATACATCAACCCTGAAAGGGTTTACATTTTACCTTTAACTTTAATGACTGATACATTGTGCTTTTAATTTTTGTTCAAAATTTCCTGTGTTATACACAAGAATATACAGTAGAGTTAAAGTCACTGAAATAATTAATGAATAGTGAATATTTCATTCAACATCTTTTACATATATTGTAATTTTCTGATTATGGATTTTTTAGGACATGATCTATGTTAAATGTTAAGATTTCATTAGCAGACCTGATTAATGATGTTATTTTGATATAATACACAGGTACTATATTTATTTAAATAGTCACACACGCACACACATTAGTGAATCTACATAATATCCAGCATCTCAGTTTCATGCAAATATGCAATCTTCAGGTGCAAAATACTTCCTGACTATTAGTGATATGAAATTTGCGTTCTTGTGATGATGATTTAAAATTGCGTGTTAAGGCCTGTTTATTTTATTCTTGTTGCCTATAATATTATAATTGATTATTTATAATTTATATCATTCCAATTCTTAAGTTTTTAAAGATGAAGAATTAAAAAATAAAAATTAAAAATTATTTTAAATAAAAAATTTGAATTTATGGAAACATGTTATGTATCAAGGGGGATAACTCTTTGTTGCATAAAATAGTAAAGTTATATTTACAAATTTAATGAAATTTAAATTTTTATTATTGCATTATTCCAAAATTTTCACACCTCAACAAATAGTTATTAATGTCAACAACTGAGGACAAATAGTTATTAATTAAAAAAAATAGTAATATGTATAATATTATCCATAACTACATGTACAAGAATATCATTTTTTGATAAAAGTTAAAAAGGAATGATAATTAGGTAAAAAATGCGTATCTTGTTGAAAATTCCTTTTTCCACAATATAGCTATTTGTGCTGTTATACTTCTTATTATCTAAACAATAATAATAGAGAATAATTTTTTTTAAACATTAAAGTATATTTAATCACATCTCTCTAATAGCTGCTGTGATCTGTTAAAATAATGTCTTATGGAATAAACGTAGCACTTAAGGTTTGTGTGTAGTCGCATCAACATAAATATCACTTTAGTCCAACAAAGTTCTAAACGACAAAATGTCTTACACATAGGACTTCATTTTTAATGAATATTATTCATGATTTTGTACATTACTGGTATTATTTTGATATTATGCACAAGCAATGCCAAGTAGCTCTGCTAGTAAAGAATAAGCTTCCAGCAAGATTTAAGACTTACAGCCATATCACATTGAAGCACCAGTTCTCATACAATCACTGAAGTTAAGCAATGTCAAGCCTGGTCAGTACCTAGATGGGTTACTGCTTGGGAATACCAAGTGCTATAAGCATGGATGTATGGATGGTGTAATGAATAACAGCTCTGAATTGGAAATTGTTCTGAACTTTTTGTTTGTTGAAGTATGTTTCAGTTTATTTATTTAATGATTAGTTATGAATTAAAACAAATTTCTGTATATGTATTCAAGTTTAAGAATGCAACATATTTTCTATTAGTATTAAATTTGTAAAATTTCTCCATAAAAATAATCCCTGTGAATGTATATATACTAATATGGAAAAGAATGAAGATTCTCAATAATATATGCATACCTGATACATGCTGGAGAAGTTTAAAAAATATCAAACCGCTTTTTTGAAACTTCTCCAGCATGTACCAGGAAACCTTCCCCCAGTACCTCTTTTTTAGGAGGAGACTGGTTTTATTGCCTGGCATTCCCAAAAGGGGAAGTGCTGCAGGGGCTTGGGCAATTTTTCCATGGTATTGCTGTTAAACTCACTCAAAACCTTGACCTTGTGTCATTCTGTAGCAACATGGGTGTGAAGAAAAAAAAAATAGACATTGTTTGGAATGCACTTTTTGAGTTGGACAATCTTGGAAAGATGTGGACAACATTCTGACATGTGGTGAAAAGGGAGTATTGAGCAAAATAGGTTGAACTAAAGCTTTAGACTGTTTCTAATATCATGACCACTTTTCTATTATTTTTTTTTTCTATTGCTTCTTTATGTGGATTGTGTTTTCAAAAGTAGAAATCCTTTTATACACTGATGATAATCTCTTAATCAATGCTTTTGATAACCAATAAAAGGTTTTTCTTAATTATTTTTTATTATAATGCTACTATTTCAACTATAAATTGGTTTTCTCTGCCCAGTACTAAACAATCAGTCATTAGATAACCCAACATTCACATAGCTTAGTGATTGTTGCTAATAACAGGTTACTAGTACTATCATTTAATACCAAACATTTTTATGAATGCAATTGTGTACCGATACTATTTACAACATTTACATTCATATTAATGTCATCTTTGTTGTTACTGTCACATTTCAGCCTTCTTTGGGTGTCTGTTTATCTTCAGAGAATTTCAAACTGAACTCTTTATTGAATTTACAGAGGTTGATTGTCAATGTCTCAGGATATCTTGTCTTATGCTTTTTAGTACTGTTCAGTTATTGCTCACCCTCTTTCCAGAATCTATGTCTGTATAATCCACTCCAGGAATTGAACTCTACTCACAATTACTATACCATCAATTTCATGAACCAGCATTTTAATCCACTACACTAGTGTTTCTCAACCAGTGTGCCCAGGTGCACTAATGCATCTTGAAAAGTAGCCAGATGTATACCAAGTTAACAGAAGAGTAATTTATAAATTATTTTTATATTTAAAAACAATTTGAATTTTAAGTTAGAGACTTACCAAGCACATGGCTTCCATATCTAAGTCAAGTTTTTGTTATTTGATATTTTAAACTCAATGCTAAAGAAGGAGTAGATAATTACTTCCCCTTTTGCCTTCCTCAAGGGGTTTAATTCATTATCAGACTCTTAAAAAAAAATAAAAAATTCTTCATAAATGTTGTGGCCTGTTTAGGGGCCAGAAAGAAAGACACAGAAGATGAAGGTTGAAAAAAGTGTATTGAAGATATATACAAAACAATAGTGTTAGTAATAAGTAGATTAGCACTGCACCTACTACTCCACTCCACTCCACTCCACTTCACACTCTGCGCTCCCGTCTGACTCTCGCAGTTTGTATTTATGAGAGAAGGAAGAGTTCATTATACTGTAAGAGGGTTTACCACAACAATAAATCCCTTTAAATGAAAACTGTACCACTAATCATCTTTGGGAACACTAAACCAAAATTTCATATTTTCAAATTCCCTGACTAAATTTCCTTATTCAAATTTTAATTGCGCTCCAGAGTTAGTTATTCTACAAGTGCACCCAGAATTAAAAAAAGTTGAAGCACTGCACTAGACTGTTGTCTCCTTATTTTTTCATTCACAAACACTTTCACTGTATTAGAGCGCTAAATCACTTGCTCACCTGATATTTAAATATAGTTTTGTCATCATCTTAACAACTTTTCTCTCTATTTTCAGAGGTTGCACGAACGAGATTACGTCAGGAAGGCCAAAAATACCGATCATTTTTCCAGACTTTGATTTTGGTAGCTCATGAAGAAGGTCTCCAGGCCTTGTACAGAGGCCTAGCAACTCAGTTTGTCCGCCAGATTCCCAACACAGCCATTGTGATGTTCACATATGAATTGGTTGTCTACAAGTTGTCTGACCGGTGAGCCATTTGAGCCTCGTAAAAGGACTGCTTTATGAAGACAGGCCAATGGCACGCCAATGGACACTCTCAAAACAAGTCATCACAAGTCAATGCTGTCAACACCCATAGCAGCAATGATGACTTTGTGTGGCTTTTCAGTTTCACTGGCTGTGTTTTTGCGTTCAAGTGGCTAGTTTGTTTCATCTTTCATCATCCCTAGTGTAGGGTTATTTGTCAGCAGACCCTAAATTTACCAGCAAAAACTTTGTTTTTTTTTTTTGTTTGTTTTTTTTTTTTTTTCATACTTTATATGCACGGGTTAATGTTTAAGCAATGAAAGATTCCTTTGCTTTATCTTGTGCACAAAAGTAGGAGACTGAAAACTCCTGTTATTTTTTTGTTTTTTTCCTGCTGTATTTAAGAGTAATGCTAATGAATGGACAGGCAATTTAGTGGAATTTTTAAATCCTCTGTTTAATGATGAGTTTTAATTTGGATGATGAATGATTAGCAGGAGTAATGAACTCCCCCCCCATTCATTGCTCCAGCAGCAGCAACAACAACAACAACAGTCATGAAAAGCAGAAGAAAAATAATCTTGTTTTCTCTGTCATAATTATAAAAAAAAAACCAAAAAATATCCAATTTAGCCTGGAAATAATTGTTTTAAAAAAAATAACAAAAAAAAATTGTTTCTTTTTACAAATGGCAGAAAAAAAAACACCCCTAATGCCAAATCTTAGAGCAGTTAACTTAGGAAACAACTGAACTGCATAAGTTAGAGCCGAGCTCCTCTCCATTTGGAAAACAGACAGCACTTAGTGACCTCATTTTCATTGGTTAAAAAATTTGAATGCCTCAAAAATGTACATATATATATGTAAATATATGTGTGTGCAGGTATGTTTGTCCTTTACAAAGTAAATGTGCGAGTGTTTGTGTACAGTTATGTATATTTATATATTCTATTCATATACGTACTCACCACGTGTATTGGTAGACATGCTAGTGGAGTAAACGTATGTGTGTGTGTGTGTGTATTGTGAGTGAGTAAATGGGTTTTTTAGAAGTTATGGGGCCAGTCTGTGAGCCTGATTACAGATGGCCATACGCTGCTGTGATGACTTCTCAAAAATGCGTACAAAATGTCTGAGCAAATGTGATTACAATGAAATAAAATAAAATCTTTGAAAAAAAAAATTTTAGTGCATTTATTACTTGCTGTTTAAAATTTAATCAAGCGAAAAATGTTTACAGTGATGGTGCAATGATATTACTTACCTTACTCTACTTATCTGCTAACTACACCTAACTACGCCCAATCTGTCACCCTCTGGCCTACTTACATAACTTATTACCTTCTGTGTTGTTTAGATTCCTTAGAAGTTGTTTCTAGTCTTTCTCTCTCCTCGATCTTGAGTAATTCATAACTTGAACATTAACTAATACAGCAAGGGGGATGTATCTTTTATTTTCAACCTCTATCCTCTTAACGTCTATTTAAACTGACACCTTCTTCCCACTCCATATATTCTGACCATTTGGATTAAGGTTCATATTTTCTTGATTTCAGATGAAAACTTGTAAATTTTCCAACATATTTCAGTAAAATTTTCACTTTCCAAAATAATGTTTTATACCATATATATTCACGTGTCATGCAACCTTTGAAGACCTAATTTTGAAGCTAATTTGACTACAGTAAATGGATATATGGTTTGGTCAATGGTATAACCAGGGACAGTAATACATATGCTAATTTTATATCCTATACATGATGCGATCTTCAAAAGTCACATGATACACGAGTATATATTAGATTAGAGGCGGGGGGAAGTGTCAATTTAAACTGATGCCAGGGAGATATGAGTTCAAGACTCAGTACTTATCCAAATATTAAATTTTTGTTAATTTTATAAGCTTTAATTATGATGGCATATCTGATAATCATTTTTTACCTATCTTTTACTGAGATAGTAGCAGCTAGATGAATAAATTCACCAGTTTGCTTTTAAAACATAGTTGCTGATAAATCTGCTGAAATTATATTATTCATGTTATGATAAAGTGAAAGTAGTTAATATTATGTATACCATGGTATGATAAATGGTACTCATTAGTGTCTGTGATAGAACTCTGATTAGGGAGCTAGTCATACAGATAGCTATTGTTGTGAGTTTGTTCCTAACTGTATGCTTTGCAGAGCCAGACTTAATATCTGTAAAAAATAATCTTATCTGATAAAAAATTATAATTTGATAGTGATAGTGTTCTTGGCAATTTTACGTTAGCTTGTAAAAGAAAGCATTCCAGAAAGACATGGTATTTTTAATTCCTAGTAATGGTAAGTTATTTAACCTTTAGCACTGTGTAGGTGACTATTTTAACCAAGCAAAATGTTAGTCCTGCCAATATAATTTGAATTTCTTGGTTGTGTAGTTATATCCTTCTATGGCAACACCTAAAACAGTCTTGACTGAAATTGAGAGCCAGTCTACTAAAATTTAAAATATATAAAACTAATATTTAAAACACTATATTTTGAGGGGATTCCATGAACAGTGAAAGGAAGCAATATTTAAAAATGATGCAGAGTGTTAAGTGTTAAAAAAAAACTGTCACTCAGGAATGTCATTTAAATTCTTAATATCTATATTTGTTTTTATTTTTACTAATATTCAACCAATATATGGCACAAGAGCCACTGCAGGTAGAAAGTTACTGAAAATAGGGTTGGATGGGCATGAGAGGAAAAATTAGGAAGTAAAGGTCACAAAGATATGGTGAATAAATAACTATTGACTTAGAGAGGTTAAGATTGTAGTGTTCAGGGAAGCATCCACATGGGGAGACTTATCCACAAAATAGCAACATCAAATATATTTCACTTTTTTTTTTTTCTTTTTTAAATTTTCAGATTTGATAAGTTAGTTTTGAAAAGTTAAACTCTTTTACCATTGCATTTTCTTTTTTATTTTAATTTGCCTTTTTCTGATTTCTTTGCTTTCTGTTGTGTGTAATGTTTACTAAAAATTGGCTTCTCTCCAATAGCATCCTTATATCTCATATAATCTAGAGTAGCAGAATAATAGCTGAGAATTCAAAAGGTGCCATCCCAAATACAAGTTACCAGTAAACCTTAGAGATAAAAACAATTTTATGTGTCTATTATTTTTACAGTCAAAATAGACTCTGGTATAAATCTGAGATTCCCAAAGTGAGCTGTATTACCCACAATGGAGATAGTGTAATTTTTCATGAGTGGGATCAGTTAGAAAGAGGGCTAGAAAGATATAGTAGCATTAAAACCAAGTAATAATCCCTCAAATTTGTTTTTATGTAAAATCTATGACATAATCTAAGTCACTTATACTTTAAGGAACACATACTTTACAAAAAATAAAATTAACATAAGAGTTATGCATATTTGCTTCTTTTTTTTTTCTTCTTATAGAAATCCAAACATTTGTTTGTAATGCTAATGTTATTTGAACAAGATGTGCTATAAACCAATCTGATTAGATAGACAATATCTGCAGAGACCAATCCTCTTGGTCTACAGGTGTAGTGATATAACCATGGATTTTTGTCTGGTATCAGGTTAATGGTTTTGAATTTGCAGTATAAATTATAAATGTCTTCATATGGGTGTGGCAGGGTCACACTAGGAATGTTACAGCTACAAAAAGTATAGAAATCACTGGTACAAATAATAATCTATTGTAGGTTAATAATTATCTATGATAACACCAGCTGTAGATCTTATTTCCTGATCAGAGTAATTTTCTTAGTTTGGTTAGAATAAAAATTAGTTTTAGGCTAAGGTAAGGGAAGACATTTAATTGTGATCACTTAAATGACAATAACTGGCTGATCACATTAAAGAAGGGATATAAAAATTGGCAGAACTTTGCATTATAAAACTTTTTTTAAATTTTATTTGACATGCCATGGTGCCACAGACTTACCAAATTTACAAATGGTTCTTTGACTTGTACATGTCAAATAGATTTTCTGGGACATGATTTAAACTTGCTCAAGCAATTAACATGCATCTATATTATATATGTTGTATATACATGATGGGGTGCTGAAAAAGTATTGTCCTAATCAATAATTCCAAAAATGTTTCTGTCTGCACATTTGGTCAGTTTCTGGGAAGTGCATTGAGTTAAGAACTTTTCAGTACTTGTGTGTGTGTGTGTGCCTCAGTGATATATAATGCATAATGGAGTAAGGGATTGAGGAATTGGCTAGCCGAGTTCAAATTCCATAACATTCACTTATCTGCTAATACCTTGAGAAAGACAGCAAGACTTCTCCTCACCCAGCTATGGGTAAAATAGCAGGACAAACTGGGTGGCAACTGATTTAGGAGGACTACTCTGAATTCCTGCAGAGGGAGACTTTGCAGCATACTGTGCAACAGTTCTCTGTATTCAACTCTTCCAAAAAAGTGTTTTTTAGCTCTGCATAAACCTTCACCACTATAATCAAATGATATGTGCAGGTAGTCTGACAGACTGTTGGTTCTAAGAACTGAGCTGCTTGAACCTTATGCATCTAAGATGACAGTTGAGTCCAATTATATATATATATATATATTAGTCTGGATGGCACGGTGGAGTAATGGATAGCGGCTTGGATTGAGGAATCGCAGAGCCAAGTTTGAATTCCAGTCAAATCCATTACATTCACTTACGTGCTAATACCCTTGGGAAAGGTATGAATCCTCTTCCTCTCCCTCCAGCTTTGGGTAAAATAGCAGGACAGACTGAGTTCTATAGCCTTGGATGGCAACTGGTCTAGGAGAAGGTCAACTCTAAATTCAAAACCTGCGGATGGTCGTTTGGGAACCTTGTGGCACTCGGTGCACCAGGTCTCTGTATTCGTCCCTTCAAAAAGTGTGGATGGTCCTGCACGAAGCCTTCACCACTATAATCAAATGTCATATGCCGTAGTCGGGCTGTCGGTTTCCTGGAAACTGATCTGCTTGACCCTCATACGTCGAACCTCAACAGG